ACTCAGCACATGAGCTATACTGACAAATCCCATCCTTATTGTGACAAAACCATTCGTCACTTTCTTACCTATTATCATGGTCCATGAAACCGTACCGTACCGGCGGTTCAACCACAAAATATCAGTATCGGAGACTAAACCGGTAGACGGTATTTAACGGTCTAACGGTTGAACTACGGTTAACCCACGGTTTTATCATAAAATACCATACCGCTGGCTTTTCCGGTACGATATCCGGTACGGTTTCATGGACCATGCCTATTATATGACACATGAATATGTCACAATATCTTAGAGCAAATTTGACAACGATATTTTAAAATTTTGTCACATTTGACCTATCTTGACGGCGATTAAATGACAACATGCTGTGACAACACCCTTTGTCATAATATATCTAATCTGACAAAACATGGGTCTAATATGACAAAAATCGTTCGTCACAATAGGCCTAATTTGTTGTAGTGAACCATACATTCTCCTAAATCACATCATTAAGTAATTAACCCTAAAACTATAACCTCAACCCTTAACCATAATTCCATAACCCAAACATGCAAACAATGAACTCTAAACCATGACCCTATACGGCTATACCCTATACTATAGTTATATGTTATGAAATTGTTGGAATAAGCTACAACGTATGTTTATGTGAAGAATGTAAGTTGAGTCAATTTTATATTCGGTTATTGAGAAGAACATATGTCATATGACTCCAAACTCTAAACCACGAGTTCACTACCGTATACCCTATGCACAAACCTTAAACCATGAACTATAGTTATGTATTATGAAATTGTTGGTTATTGAGAAGAACATATGTCCTACGACTCCAAACGTTTAATATCTGTATTTAATGAAATGAATTATTAACTTTACTATTTTTACATATTGATTTATTTATAAAAGTAATTAGTTTTATATATTTATAACTATTAACGTACTATTAAACGTAACATTAGATAAGAGACGAAGTATAATACCCGTAAGTATTTTATACGTAACTTTCTCGTACCATATTTTACTAACTATGCTATACATTAAGTGAATTTTATGTATTATTAAATTTACCATTTTTACATATTGATTTATTTATAAAATTAATTAGTTTTATATATTTATTACTATTAACGTACTATTAAACGTAGCATTACCTAAGAGACGAAGTATAATACCCGTAAGTATTTTATACGTAACTTTCTCGTACCATATTTTACTAACTATGTTATATATTAAGTGAATTTTATGTATAAGTTGACATACAAAAACATCGTACCATATTTTACTAACTATGTTATATATTAAGTGAATTTTATGTATAAGTTGACATACAAAAACCTGTTAAAAAAATATGTATCTACTAGGCTTTGAACCATTCCCTCAGATGGGAAAGACCAGCACATAAGCCAGCTAGTCCACGTAATCGATTTGTTACAATTTGAACTTGTTGTTTAATTATTTGATTCAACTAAAAGGAAGAGAGACCAGAAAGTATTATGTGATTCAATTTCCCGAGATAGTGAGACTATTATGTGATTCAATTTAATGACAGTTGTCATTTGTCAACACAAAGTAAACCTCTATTCTTGGTATGAAAGATGAAAAAATAATAGGGCAAGTCAAGTAAACTTTATATATATTATTTACATATAATATTTATGCACAAAAATATATTATGTAGTATTATTCGTGCCAATCGGGCGGGTTCGGGTTGAGTTAATCGGGTTTGGGTTAGTCGGGTTACGGGCCAAACGGGTTGCGGGTCAAGCCACTACAAGAAAAATGGCTTTTTGCAACCAAAATATATGGTCCCTAAAAGTCAAAAAATGGTTATCAATACATTTTCGCATCCAAATATATTTGGTAGCAGATTTGGTCGCTATAGCCGCGTTACGAATTCCTAATGCAACCAAAATAATGATTGGTTGCGAAAAATCAGGCTATCGCAACCAATTCTGCCAATGCTAAAAATATTAGTTTTTTGTGACCATTTAAATTTGGTTCTCATAGTCCATACTATTGGTTGCGAAATGTAATTGATTGGTCGCCATAAATACTAATGACAACCATTTTGTGTGACTATTAGTAACCGATAATATCATTATGACAACCAATAATTTTGGTTATAAAATTTTAATACAACTATAAAATTTGGTCGTGAAAAATACATATGCCGACCAATTATATCATTTTAAACGAGTAAATATTTTTGTCATAAAAATGTAAAACAACCTTGAGATTGGTCGTGAAAAACATGTAACTCAACCAATTAAACCATTTTGACAACCAAATGTTTTAGTTATAGAATTATAAGTCAACCTTAAAATTTGGTTGTAAGAAATACATATGCCAACCAATCATGTCAATTTTTGCGACTAATTATTTAATTATGAAAGCGTTACAAAACCATAAAAATTGGTTGCGGAAACACATAAGCCGACAAAATAAATCATTTTATATGACCAATTTCGTTCATGAGAGTTTGGTCATTAAAATGCACCATTTGAAAAATTAAATTGAATTATAGTAAGAAAGTGTACATGTCATATCTCGTCTTTAACAAATTGTTATGTCATCACTAAGAATAACCTCACTATTTCATATAATTGCATCTATAACTAACTTAAGATGAACAAAATGCAAACACTACAAAATGTACCCTCTTTATAGTTGCCAATAGTCCATCATTCAATAGTTCACCATCAACATTTTCTTCTGCAGATGACAAAAAGAAACAATTGAAATCCTTTCTTATAGAAAGAGCCAGTATAAAGTAAACATAGATTGGACAGAAAAGAAACCAAGAAAAGGGCATATCACCTGAATTTAGAGCATGTCCTCGTTCATATAAACAAGCTCTTCATTTCCACGAACAATAGCAACAGCCCATCGACATCATTTTTTAGTTCTGAAAAGGCCCAGCATCATTCAAATTTTAACACCTAGACTTATCAAGCATATGGAAGTAAAACAAAAACAAGGTTCGCGTTTTAGAAGCAGTATAGAGGTCAAACTCTAAATCAAAGAATAAAGCATTTGCTCCGCCAATTTCTTGGAAAGCAACAGTTAAACCAAAAAAAAATACCTTTGCCATGCTAAACTATAACTTCCTACTAAAGTTATAAGCTTAAGTAATAGAGGTGGAGTTCTTACATACATGTCAAAGTGGAATTCTTGAGGTACAATGACCTGCTTCTTGGAATTCTTACATCTACTGCCAGATTCCAGGGATTCTGGCCTTTACCGCCATCTCTTCTTTAACTTCAAATGATTGCAATCTAGAATGCATTGCAACTTAATATTTGCTAACATACTTTTACAAGTAATTTCATAACAACTCTTTAAGTAATTTCATAACCACCAAGTCTCAGTAGAAGGTAATTCTTGAAAGAAGTACAGAAAACAAGATAAATATTCCTTTCCGTCGATGGGTTACCTGTTGAATAAATGAAAAGAGTTAATTTGGTTCAGTACCTATTGAGAGCATCTGACCAGGGATGCTCAGTTGAGATTACTGAAGTGAACACTTCCCTGTTCAATAGAGAGTACTATGGCTTGTCCTCGTCAGAGGTTGGCATTGGGAAGTATGTCTCGTAAGGAACTCCACATTCCCCACTAGAGTCAGGGGATTTATAAACTGTTCCTGTGTTAGAGTAATCCCTGAAACCAAACAATTAATGAATGAATATTTCATGTGCGCATCCATCAATTAAGGTCACGTGGAATATGTGCTAGGTACGCAGATGACCACACCAGTCATCTCAATAGTCATATTATATATACCTCATGTTTTGCCTTGAGAATACTCATCCTGTTGAAGAAAGAACAGGAAATAGGAAGCTATAGAACTTGAAAAGGGAACCATAGTCTCAGCATGTGCAAACCTCAACCTTGCCTTTTCATAACTTTCAAGAGGAAGTTTTTCTACAAGCAAAGAAGGCCAGACAACAAGCAGAATGCTGATCAAATTGATTAAATCGGCATGACCCTTCAGTAAGAACACCTCCAACAAAAATATGGTACCGAATCTTTGAGCACAAGTCGGAGTTAATAATCACAGCAGAACAGAGAACAACAAACTTACAGAGCAGTTCCAAGTCTTTCTAGCAAGGTTGGCTCTCTCTTCCAATAACAGAGGAAGGAAATATGAGAAGAGGAGTGAACTTATCACTTTGCTATTGAGTCTGGGAAAATATGGGTCGCCAACTTTATAAGACAAAACAGAAAGCTAGAGATGCGGATACCTTCACATAAACTCCTGTCGCAGCCCAACAAGACAGGTGTGAATTTCAGTTCCAGTAAAACCATGATCAGAACAAGCAACAATTCTATAGCCTTACAACCATCACGTATACAACACCCATGACATGAGAACTAGTTTCTTGTTACCTTAGAGAATCTCAAACCTCCTTGTTCTCGTGAAGTCAACAGAAATTCAGAAATTCTGCGTTCATCACAACAAATACTGATTCAAATACTGGTTGCCCATTCTGCGTTCATCACAAAAAACCCTTTAAAAAGATGCTACAAGTTCTGGATAATAGTACGATGTACTGCATAACCAACCACACAACATGAATGTGAACTGAGTGCAAAAGAAAATGAAAATCAGTATATTGAAAAGGGACCAATCTAGATTTCAAACTATGCCAGAATCCAGGCCTAATCAACCAACCATAATGGCAGATCATAAAAAGAGAACCATAAATAGAGAGATACATTATGGCAATGTGAAGTTTAACATGATTTCAGTAAAGGCAACAAGGGAAGGAGAAAGAAAACCCAAGACATGAAGAAGCATCAAATTGGATAAACCTTCAATAATAATGCAGCAAACGCAATAATTATACATAAAAATTCAAACCTGGTAACTAGAGCTGAGAGGCAGTCGCTTAAGCAAACTCTTCTGCTCTCGGTGAGAAGTCCTTCTGCAACATGGAAACAACAAAATCACAGCAACATAATTGCTGATGTTCAATGTTCAAGAAGACGCTAGGCGCTATCTAGGCGAAGAGGCACCGCCCAGCGCCCAGGCCGATTAGTCGTTGCCTAGGCGAGATTAAACGTTGAAAAAAATATGATAGATAAGCCATATTCTACAAAAACCTAAGTCACCATATCATTATTCATCCATTCATATACCTAAGTCACCATATCATTATTCATCCATTTATATACACATACAACCCTTTTCCACAATCCCAAACATCCCAAGTCTCCAACCATGAGGAGGGATCTCACTGTTGGTCGATGAGGGGGAGCGGTTGGTCGAATGGAAATGGGAAATAGAATAGGGTTTGAGATTTTCACAAAAAGGCTACACTTTCCCTCTTTATTAGTTGTTTTGGGCGTCGCCCACCAGAGTGAAAACGCGCCTCCGAGTGCCTAGCTGCCTAGAACAATCGCCCAGGGCTAGACGGGGCGATTTCCTCTTGCCCAGCTATTAATCGCGCCTAGGCGAGAGATTAATCGCGTCTTCTTGAACACTGCTGATGTTTGCTCCTGAGAAGCCTGAAGGAGTCACAACAACAGTAAATCGACATCTTCCGTTTTACAATCTGATGAACATATGGAAACTTCAAAACTATAGATTAGAAGTTAGATCAACCGGGAGTCTCTTTGGAACTAGAACCCAACACCTCGAGAATTACAACATAGTTGTGATGCTATCAAACTAGAAGGTTACCCTAATGTTATAGCCATAGAACCCAAGCTTCACGTTGCTGCTGTCTTGAACAGAAAGAAAAAAGAAAGAAAGGGCATTCATATATATCACTTGGTTCACAATCTCTGAGCAAGTGAGCAAGCAAGGGCATTCATATGTATCACTCGCTAGCTACTACTGAAGTAGTCCCACAAATATGTCAGCTAACTACAGTAACTTATGATTCCACAACGACCCATCAATTTGTTTGATCGTTTTTGTAATTGACCCGAGAAACAACAACACCTGGATTCAGGAGAATGGAACAATAGGAAAGAAAAGGAAGGTTACTTATCCCAAACAAGAAAGAAAAGGTTGGATTCGGTAGAAACTATTATTCCACATCATGATTTGTAACTGATAATTGACAAGAAAAACCAACATTCAGTACAAATGCTCTCATTCATCCTTGTCCTCCGACATGTAACATAGCTAAAAGGCTTGCATTTTATGAAATGAAAGGAAACTATTATGCAACCCAATATTACCCCCCTTGATAATTCATGTCCATCAGGCCCATGCATGAGTTTATTGGATGAAACTATATTGATATGTATCTGCATGCAAACCAGTAGCACCCACCCATATGTGGCCAGAAGCAAGTACCACTCAATTGTAGGAATATATATCAAGCTATGAGGAAGTAGCAGTGACCGCTTCCAACTCCTCATTCCATTAATCCTTACTCCTTATAACGAGAGCATGCATATCCAACAACTGCAACAACGGCAACATGCTTATCACGAAACCATCAACATATGATTTATTCAAATCAATGATTCTCGGCAGTAGTACAACAATTTTGGGATATTATGACAACGACGTTCGTCACAACAGATCCTACATTTGTCATAATAGCTCTATTATGACAAAAATATTTGTCATACCGTTGGTCAAAACTACCTCGTCGAAATAGCTCTATTATGACAAAAAATAGGCATCTTGTCACAACATGTTCCAGTGGCACGCCGTGCACATTTTGTCATAACAGGCATCTTATTATGACAAAATGTTTTGTCAAAATACAGAAATGCTTCGTCACAATATGTTATTAATTTTTGTCACGATAGTTACCACTTTTGCTACGTTGTTGTGACAAATGTATAGTTTGTCATAGCAAACCTATTTTGACAAAGCCATGTGCTTGTCATAATATTTAAACTCAAACTCCATCTGACATTTGTCCTGATTAAACTTGTTTGTCATAACCTGATGCATATATGACAACCTGTGGGCAATATTATGACGACCTATTTTCCAAATTTGATACTATTCATACCATAAAGAAAACGGTACATCATTCAAATGTATCAAAAGCTACATCATTCATTGCCGAAATAAAAAACTACATCATTCATAGTTACAATCTGTTCCAAAAACCTACTGATCCATCCATCCAGACACCAAAACAAAGTCTTCCAAAGCGACATATGTTCGTCTTTCAAAAGAGAGTAATAAATAACAAAAGCTAACAGCCTTCCAAAGGTCCTTGAGCATCCAAAATGCATACCTACTGCCATATACCTAGGTACCTGCGTAATACAACGGTCAAAGTTTGAGTAAAACTTATTAAATAAAATTCAATTGAGTAGTAACACCGATGACAGTATAAGTACAACTTATGAGACTATTATTTTACCTTCAGCTAAACTTGTCTTCCATCAATTTTTGCAGCTAGTGACTCGACATATTTAGCTAGGGTCTCCTGTGATGCTTGCAACCCTTTGATAATACCGTTCTGACTGTGTATCTCCTGTTGCTGGTTTTCTATCTGCTCCTGTTGTGCATGAATCTGGTCCTCAAATTCTTTCCTCTGCCTCTCCCCCACAGCTATAGGTGTCAATCGGGCGGGTTCGGGCGGGTTCGGGTCGGGTTCAGTCGGGTCGCTGGTTAATCGGGTCGCGGGTCGATCGGGTTGTGGGTCAAGCGGGTTCGGGTTGATCGGGTTGCGGATTGATCGGGTTGCGGGTTGATCGGGTTGCGGGAAAATCGGGTTCGGGTCGATCGGGTTGCGGATCAAACGGGTTACAGGTTGATCGGGTTGCGAATCAATCGGGTTCGGGTTGATCGGATTGCGGGTTACAACAGGTCGGGTTGCGGGTTGTTCGGTCCAAACCATCAAGTTTTTTTTAATTAGTTATTACACTAATTTAAAACAAACTCACCGGTCACCATTTTGCAATGAGGCTGGGCCTGGGTTCACGCAACCATTTTGTATTTTCCCTTCTTAACTAATGTCAATTCATTAAAGAATTAAAAAAATATATTATTAATATTATATATATTTTTTGTTACAAAAAAGGAGGATGGGAGGGAATTTTGGCCTTTGGACAAAATATAGTGCGGGGGATTTAAAAGTATTTTGCGGGTTTGGGAGGGAATTTTGGACCAAATCTTGGGCGGGGTTTTAAAAGTTCTTTTGTGGGTATGAGGAGGGAATTTTGGGACAGATATTTGGGGATTGAATTGTTGAATTTTTATTCAGAAAATTTCCCTTAATTTTTTGGTGAACATTTTGTTCTTCCTTCGATATTTATTATTATAAATGATAAATTGTATACCGATTAACAAGTTTGTTGTTCGATCCGTTGGTCGGGATGTCATTTGAATATGATATATGTACGATGTACATTCACAAGTTTTCAAAATATTTTAAATGCGTTTTTTACTAAATAGCTAAATTAATTGTTAAAACAGATTAAATAATAAAATATAAAAACCAAAATATCTATCATAAAGCATAACCATGAAGAAATCCTAAACCCTTATCCTATAACCAATGCTGTCAAAGCCGAGCCGGAGTATGACCCGGTAACGTGAACGGCTCGGTTATTAGTGGTCCAGCCGGCCTTAGACCGTTTAAAAACCGTTTGAGAACCGGTACCTCTGTTCATGAAGGATTGGGGAATTAAGTCCAGTAGAGCTTGGTGTTGTAAATGATCATACAGGAGACAAAGGGGGAAATTAGGTAGACAATTTAAAGAAAAGATAGTAAGTGTAGCTGTGGCTTGAACAAAAGAAGAAGAAAAATACATCAAACCCTATTCAATCCATGGCTTTCTTTTACCCTTCATGAATCGGAATTTTAATTTAATAACAAGGATTGAAGTTTGAATCAGTGACCACATGAGAGACTTGAACATATATAGATCTTCAGATTGAAAATCGACAATACAATTGCTAGGCTAAGTCTTAGTTTCCTTTTAAAGATGAGGTTATAGCTTACAACAACCGACCTCTAGCCGGCAAGAAGACGAGGCCGGATCCGGCCGAGAAGTTAGACGGAGCGGACGGAGAGGGAAGCAACAGAGTCGCCGGAGAGGAAAGCAACAGAGTCGCCGGACCGAAGAGGGAAGCAACAGAGTCGCCGGAGAGGGAAGCTACGGGAGACGGCGGGATCGCCGCAGGAGGAAGAATGACGTTGTGCTGGCGACGAGGAGGAACGGCGGGATCGCCGCAGGAGGAAGAAGAACGACGAGGAGGAACGGCGCTGAGGAAAGGCGACGAGGAGGAGCGGCGCTGCCTCTTCTCCACGAAGAAGATAGAAGAATGAAAATAAAAAAATTAGGGTTCTGCTTCTGCAGCCCGACCCCGACCCCCTTTAGTTTTCCAAATTTTTTTTTAATTAAATCAACCGGTCGAATTAAAAAACCGGACGACCGGCTCGAGCGGTTCGAGCGGTTAACCGCTTCGGCCGCTCGCCGGCCGCCCCAAAGAACCAGTCCGGCTAAATAGCTCGTCCGAGCCGGTTTTGTGCCCGGTTGGCGGTTTTGGCGGCTCGGCCGGCCGGCTCGGCTCGGTTTTCACAGCACTGCCTATAACACCATCAACCATACATTACCCTAAAACTAACCTCAACCCTTTACCATAACCCAAACACTAAACTCTAAACCATGACCTTATACCCTATACACTAACCATAAACGATGAACTATAGTTATATGTTATGAAATTATTCGTATAAACTATAACGTATGTTATGTGAAGAATGTAAGATAAGTCAATTTAGATTCGGTTATTGAGAAGAACATACGTCCTAATCCTCCTAACTCTAAACCACGAGTCCACGACCGTATACCCTATGCACTAACCTTAAACCATGAACTATAGTTATAGGGAATTGATAAAGGTCGTCCTTAAAATTACTATTGATCGTCCTAAAAAATAACAAAGTTACATTTTTAACCTTTTGGCATTTTTAGGAAACAAACATCACTTTAACTAAAAAAATGAAAAACACTCAATTTCCCACACTCTCGAATTCATCGTTGACATTCTCGAGTCGTAATCGTTGAGAATACGTCCGAATCATGAGTAGCGACTCCGACGAGGTAAAAATCTGATTTTTTTTCAAAAAAATATCCAAAACCCCTCAACCGAAGCCAATTTTCGGTTGTACCATGGCTCAACCTAAGGCAATTTTCGGTTGTACCATGGACCAACCGAAAATTGGCTTCGGTTGAGCCATGGTGCAACCGAAGGTGATTTTCGGTTGAGCCATGGTGCAACCGAAGGTGATTTTCGGTTGGTCCATGGTACAACCGAAAATTGCCTTAGGTTGAGCCATGGTACAACCGAAAATTGGCTTCGGTTGAGGGGTTTTGGGTTTTTTTTTTGGATTTGTTTGGTTTATATCAATAATTTT